CTTGGAGGAGAGACGAAACGTTTCATTAGAGAAGAACCCGTCCAGAAGACCTATACAATTTTTTTTCTTTTTGATACTTGGACATGTTTTTATCACAGGGATACTTGGACATGTCTTTATCACAGGGATACTTGGACATGTTTTTATCACAGGTGAACCTGTGTCCTCCGTGTGAGGTGACAGCTCTAACCGCTGCATCTGGTTTTATTGATCAGAAGGAGTCAAACCGTCTGAATTTATACAGAAAGCAGAATGAATGATTCTGGGAGTAAAAACAGTAAAAACACTCACCTGCACAGTTCTAAATTCAAGAATATATTTATTATATAAACATAAATAAAAAAAACTGAGGCTCAGCATGAAGAACATGAACTGTGAGCAGAAACCAGTGCCTTCAGCTCTGGTTTTTCAGTTCATACATAAAACGAACCAACATGGCGGTCATGTCTGCCCCCTGCTGGACAGGAAGTGGACCTGCAGCTCTGCAGAAAACAGGAGTAAAAAAGTTAAATTTAAATCAACATCAGAAGTTTTTAACTTTGAATTAAACAGGTTCTCATGCATGCACAGAGGGGTACTGCAGCACCTTCTGCACCCCCACTTCCTACAGGCCCCCCACATGCTTCTTAGTTTTTGACAGAGATTTATAGTAACGGAGAGTACATTTACTTTGTTACAGAACTTATTTTTTGAGGACTTGTAATTTTACCAAGTATATTTTTATTTATAACTTTTACTTTTATTTTGTTATATTTAAAACCTAAAAATGAAACTTTTACTTCTTAACTTTAAAATTTAACACTTAGTTACACGTTACTAATTTAAATATGTTCAAACTCATCATGAAAGTTGTTTATACACTCTAAAAAATGAAGTGTTGCGTTTACTCAACCAAGTCAACTGGTTCAACTAAACAGAGCAGAGTAAATATGAACCAATATACATATATACTGTGTATACACACATATATACTGGATATACTGTATATAAATATTAGGTATGTATTTTGCTCAGTTTACTCAACTCATTTCAGTGGAACCAGCTCGGTTCAGTAAATGCAACAGTTCATTTCTTAGAGTGTTGAAAAGTACTTTTTTTATTTTCCTGATTAACAGTTTTATGACTTTTACCAAGTACTTTTCTTATCAGTGAAAGCCATTTTCTGTTAGGATATTTTTAATTTTACCTATTGTTATTTTTTACAGAAAGTTTAAATTTTTTTTACAGAAAGTTGTTAAATCTGAAACGAAATAAATCCCGCCTTAAAGAGAGGAGAGGATCTCCATCATCCAGAGGAGCTGCTCCTCATCAAAAGGAGTAAACTGAGGAGGCCCAGGGTCCGACTGGGACTCCTCTGATGTAAACAGGTAAACTGAGGAGAATTAGTCATCGTGGCAGAAAAGTCATAACGAGAGAAGACTCAGATAATACAGGAGGGAGGGTTAGAGTACATCATGGTTACAGTATCACACAGAGTACTGTAGTACATCATAAACACTGTTAATAATAGACCTCACCTGTCCAAAGTTCTGTCATCACCTGGAGTTTCAACACAACCTGGATCTTCAGTTACCTTGACGGTTCTGCAGAGAAGACAGGAAGCAGGGAGACGGTTGAGTTAAATCTATAGGTAAGGCTGTTAATGCTGACTCAGCATTCACTGCATTTATTTTTATTTTTACCTTCGCCAAGGAGTTTAGATCTTCTGTCTGTCTGTCTGTCTGTCTGTCTGTCTGTCTGTCTGTCTGTCTGTCTGTCTGTCTGTCTGTCTGTCTGTCTGTCTGTCTGTCTGTGTGCGTGCACAAAATTACTCAGAAAGTTATGAACAAATTTTCAGGAAATGTTCAAGGAATGTTTTGGGTTTTCACGAAGAACAAATAATTATATTTTGGTGGTACTCTGGCAGAGCTGCGGCTCGCTGTGATTTGGCACAAACAGAAACTGAAAGAAAAAGAAAACAGATCAGAGGAAGAGCCAGAGGCTGCTTTTTAAGTGATGATGTCATATGTGACAGCCAATCAGCATTCAGCAGAACTCCACCAGCATTGGGTCTTGGTGTTAATGTTTACTCTGAGGGCTTCCAGTTCTGTATGGTTTTATCTTTATTTACAATCAGACTTCAGCTGAACTTTGTTCTCTTTTAGCCAGGAAAGCCGGTTATTAGGGAAAGGTTCAAAAGGACGATTGGAGTCCAACAGGTGGACAGGTTTGAAGACAATCAGTGTGAGAAGGCTGACATGGTTTAAACATGTGCAGTTAAATATGTATCTATACTGTTTATAAAATATATATTTATAAATTGTCCTCCGGAGACCCTGCGTCCTCATATGCGGACATTGCAGTTTTGCCTCCATGATGCATTTTTTTTTTCAACTTTAACCTATTGGCCTCATTACAGTTTTTATTGATTGCTTTGACCTGTTTAAAGGAACTGGGAACCTCTCAGTCTTCAGCATCACCATCTTAGCAGAGCAAGAGGACACCTCTTGCAAATGTATTGTTAACCCATTCTCATTGGATTGACACAGTGTTCCCCGCCTGTTGCAAAACAGTTAACGTAGATGTCGTTCAAGAAGTCCAAATTCCATTTTAGCTGTGGTTACAGAACAGA